TTCGCCTGCCTCCTCACTTGGTGGCGAAGCAGCTGGCCCAAGGCCAAGCTCCTCCTCTAAATCCAGACATTGGTCTATAATCCTCGACATCCTGTCTTCATCTTCCGTATCCGAAAGGTTTCTTCGCACTGATCCTCCGAAATTGAGTCTCCTTTGGCTGGTCCGGCACAAAGCCAACAAGGCCAAAATCGCCACAACTGAGACAATGGATGCCAAAGCTCCAACTAAAAACTTGCTGCGATGTTTCCCTCGACGTAGTAACTTGTGTCCATCCTTCGCCTTAGGCTGGCGCGTGTTCGATGGAGAAACGTACTCAACGCGTTCAAATGAAGTGGGCGGGGCGTGGGATGTAAAAATGGCCAACGATTCTTTGCTATCCACATCTATGGGATGGTATTTTCGGGTCATTTTGGGCGGGATCCATTCGGCAGTCCCAAGGCAAACGAGTCGGTTAATGCCGCTCTAGAGTTGCTGTTGAGCGACTGAAGCGAGAACCTGTCGCTTATCGCTGACCTGCCTTTACTTTCCAGGTACCTGTCACTCCGTAGCTTGCATGATTTCCTATGGTCTGCAGGCTGTTTGCACGATTTCAAGAGAGAACGGACGGGGGATGAGGCTATTATGCCTGGATCCCCGCGGATCAACTTCAAATTACACGTTGTGAAGGGATATTATGAAACGCTTCGCCCTCGGAAAGTGAAATATCGTCGATGCAGCCCACTCTCCGCCACCGGTGCCACTGCTAGGTAGGCCCAGTGGGTGTAGCCGAGATTCATGTCTCCCTCTCATTCCATCTCACCAAAAATCATCGTTTCAACTTTAACGTAGAAGGCCTCTATTAAACCGTTGCATTTTGAAGGTAAGTCAGAGCAGACGCATCGTTTGGGGCAGTCCAGCGACGGTCGCCTGTCATCGATTTCTGCATTGGCTTCTGACGTCGAGTGAGTACGCGCAGCAATTGAGTGGAGTTCAGGACATCCATCTAGGCTTAAGCCGGAATGGTAGAGGAAGGAAAACTTTTAATGATATTCTCTGTTGTTTCACCGTCCACCTCCAACTGTGTGGGGCCAAACAACTGGTCGTTTATCCTGGGGCGTTGGGAAACTTGCACTGCCTAGGCGTCCGCTGCTGTAACACCAGGGTTTGAGCAAGGT